CATTTAAAAAAAGAGGCATAATCTTAATGCTGTTTCTTAGAAAATGGCTCAAATTTCACGCAGAAAAAGGTCCACATAGTTCTCCCACGAAACCCTTCAAGTCATTTGAGCCTCTCCTTCATCAGATGGCCCTCCCTTTCACCTACAAAGCCTTACTTTCCTGACAGAGCAGGAAGCTCCTCAACTCCAAATATAAAAGCCGGTGGAAGGAAAATCTTGCTTTCAAACAGAAATTGCATGCTATTATCAAATTGCACCTCCAAAACAGAAATTGCACTCATTATTGCAGCCTGTGACAATGCAGGCACTCCCATTCTCCTCACTATTAATCCCCATCCTCCACCCTCCCAGCTTCCTCTCTGATAATAAGCCACTGATTCGGGATCCGCTGCAGCCGCTTGGCACTGTGTGTTTGGCACTGAGGAAGATGTTCCTGCTGTTCTGTAATCAGACTGAGCTGTAACGGCACTGAGTGAAAAGGACCACCAAACGCTGCTCACATCGTCTCTAACCAAGGCCCTCCTGACATCTCTCTGACTCAAACTGAACAATCTGTATTCTCCTTAGAGCACCAATAAGAGGTCAGAAAAAAACACGCATTTTAAAGGGAAGGTAGGAAACCCAGAAAGTACTGATCTGGTGAGCTGATGTTCAAAACAAAGTGCTGATATGAAAATAAACATTCATTTCATTGATTTATTTCAGATTTAGTGGTAAGTAAGAATGAAGCCTGTTGACACCTTTTTGAATAGTTTTCCCTTATATTTAATTTGACTAAAAACAGGCAATCCATTGTTGTGTAAGTTTCCTTACAGCTGACCTATGTGGACAGCTCTCAAGCAGTAACTCATTTCTCTTTGTAATTGTAAATTTCATTTATACAAACAGTATCTGAAACTGTAAGCTTTGTTTATATTTTTGCAGTGTCAGCTGACCTCTGCTACACTGTCTCAAGCAATGAAGTAAATAACAGGGTTCCACTTATTCATGGTCTGTATTTTGACTCTAACTAGAATCACATGGCAGAACTGCTCATTAAAATCTGAGACCTATAAAATAAAGTTTTACTAATTCAAGTGACTAGAATTGAGTACTGAATCTACTGTGGCTTTTGTTCCTGGTTGGTAAAATATGAGAAGTCACTTTTAAATGAATAATCTCTTATCCATCCATCCATTCGCTTCCGCTTATCCTTTTCAGGGTCGCGGGGGGCGCTGGAGCCTATCCCAGCTGTCATAGGGCGAGGGGCGGGGTACACCCTGGACATGTCGCCAGTCTGTCGCAGGGCCAACACACAGAGACAGACAACCATTCGCACTCACTTTCATTCGCACATTCACACCTAGTGACAATTTGGATTATCCAATTATAATCAGACACAATGTGCTGTTTACACTGCTGATAAAAATAACTGAAGAAAATGAATAAATGTGACTTTGGACATTGTGATATGGATCCTGCTGCTCTTTGATGCTGCTGTGTTTGCAAACAAGCTGAAAGGAAAGACTTCTTAAACAGCTGGAAGCAACTTTTATATCAGC